CTTTAGCAAACAGTTTAGATAGAATCACATGTTCTTATAGCTGTTGTTTTAATTGCAAATGTTACCTAAAAATATGCAAACAAAACCAGAAGTCACTATCTGAGTTTCAGCAGGTTAACAGGGCTCCAAACTGATGCAAACACAAGACAAGCATCATTTTAGAATCTTTCTATGCCTGTAACACTGCATTCTGAGAACTCTCTAGTATAGTGTTTCCACAGAAGACATTAGCTAGCAACAAGTCTAGTCCAAAAGAAGTATGCCTCAGAGAGTCATAATCTTGATTGCCATGTTTCTTGAAGTGGAAACGTAGACAAGAGGAAGGGAAATTAGAATGTGCATAAACTTGCTTCAAGGAATAGTCTTTCTGTGTTTACTCGTAGGCCTACTTGTTGAGAAAATATCTGTTGATTTCAGTGAAAAAATATTTTTATTTCCATGTCTTAAAGGTTTGTGCAACATCCTAATAACAATTTTCCCTATGAATCGTCTCAGTTACCTCAATATGATAATATCAGAAAAGTCATACACAACAACAGTACAGCACGTGCAATCCCCAATTTACATTTTGTGATGATTCCATTGCAATGGACTTCACCCTCTGAAAATCAACTATTTAATTACTTCTTAATTTTTTCTGAAATTCATTAGGGTGTCTACACTCATAATTTTACCTGTCATCAGCCCAAGAAAAAGAACATTCCAAATCAACACAAATTGAAAAAGTAGCTTCCTCTAAGTTAACAAAGCTTGTTTGGAGGAGAAACATGCTATGATCCCAAAACAGTTATCTTCTGGGGGAAAAAAACCCTGGGCAATTACATATCTAAACCAGTCTTCTCATTAGCTAAATTAAATTTAATTTGTATAAAAACACCATGATATGTTTCCACCCACAGAGAGATCCGCTTTGTCCCTCACAACCATACTGAAAAATAAAGGTCTGAAACCTCTCTTTAAGCTATAGATGAACTGTAAGAATCAAGGGAGCAGCATCATATCACTTCTGTGCATGAAAAAAGGACAGAAGGCTTACACATGAGCAAAACAGGAGGGGGCAAAAAGAATAAAGAATGCTGCAGCCAACCAACCAACCAACCAACCAACCAACCAATCAATCCACCAGAGGAAGCTCAAGAACACTCGGATCTGGTCACTTTTCAGCCCAATTGCTTTGTGGTTCTCCACCCAGAATGAATTTCACAGTGGCTGCAACAATTGGCAATGCTGAAATCAGAATAGCTTTGCAGAAATCCATTGACCTAGGCTGACTGATACCACATGAGAGTCTTGCTTAACATTTTACAGAAACAAGGGATTAGATAAGGAGGACAATTATCTGAGTTACTCTGGATTTAAGTTATGAAGTAAGAAAGCAGACCCTCAACTCCCTGCCTACAGCAGAGATTTCCAAACATTTCTAGCAATAGAGAAATACTTAATATTGAAAGACATAAAAGAACTACATTCTACTTCCTAAATTTCAAGAAACTTTGGGGAAATCAAAGAAATCCCTGAAATAATTCTTCTCTTTCTGTTTACTTTGCAAAATAATAAAATATGAAGTACTAATGAGTTTTGGAATCACAGAATGATTTGATGAGACCTTAAAGATCATCTAGTTCCAAACTCTCCTGCCATGAGCTGGGACACCTTTCAGTAGATCAAGTTGTTCAGTGGCCCATCCAACCTCGCCTTGAACTCCCATAACTTCTCTGGGCAACCAGTTCCAGCACTTCACCACTCTCTGAGTAAAGAATTTCTTACCTATATCTGTTCTACACATGCCCTTTTTCGGTTTATCGCTTTAAAACCATTTCCCCTTGTCCTGACTCTATCTGCCTGCATAAAAAACTTTTCCTTTTTTTTCAAAATTCCCTCCAGGTACTGGAGGGCCACAATGAGGTTTCCCCAAAGCCTTCCCTTCTCCATAATGCTTGGTCTCCCAGATAGAGGGATCTTTTTTTCCTGACTAAGAAAGTAATATTTGACAATCAATGCAAATAATATTTTTTATCATTACAGAAAAAAAAAAATCTTGCATTTTTCCACCTTAAATGCCTTTCTGAAAGAATATTTAGAAGATTATCAAAATGATGTTCAAAATCATTAATGAAATATAATCCAGTATATATCCAGGGAGGTTTGCCATATGGTTTTAATTTTGAGCAAACATTTTTTTTTTGGTTAATAGAGTTCCTGGTTAATTATATATTAAACCATCTAATCTTCATATAAATCACTGTTATTTTAAGAGACAATGAAAAAATACTTTTTGAAGACTGCACAAGTTCTGTATTTTTTGTAGAACAAGACTGGAAGTACAGAAAAGTGTGTTATTTGCCACCTAAATACATGAAAACTTTGTCTACATAACAGAATACTGGCACTTTCTCTCTTTAGCTTAAAAGGATACTCATGTCCAGTCTGAAAACTGTGAGTCTTTGCATGTAATGAGTAAACAATAAATCCAGTATTTGTCTGCATTCATCTCTGCAAAGAACTATTCCAACATCCACCATGACAACCCTTTCCAATAATGAGGTCTGTCCTGTACATGTTCCCTTGTCATAACTTTCATTTCTAAATGCCTGAAGTGCTACAAAGATCACCTTGACTGCCTCACATTCCTGTACAGTTATATTAATATTTCAGAGAGAATTGCTTTATTCCATTTTTTATGGTAGAGTCTGTATTGTGCATTCTTCTGGATTTTTGGAGAGGGGGGGAAGGTGAGGCAAGATGTGGACATTGGGGAATTATATAGTACATTAGCATTTCTCATTTACTGTCTTTGGCAAATTCTGCAATTTACAGCATGTGATACATCCCTGGAATGTACTGTCACTTTTTGCCTATAAACTTTTTGCATGAATATAGGAAGATCAAACTACCCTTCATTTCCTTTCACCAAACTTTTACTCATCAACTAATATAAAATTTTCCTTTTGGTTTGCCTAGGGGAAAAAGAATTCAGAGTAAAGATACCAAAATGAAACCACCTTCTACATGTACTATCAACAATTTGTCATTATAGACCTGTTAGCCTCAAAATAATTGACAGAATATGTCTGTGACAGTAAGATAACTTAAAAATTCTCTTCAAGAGAAATGTGCAAAGTTTTTCAACACTCCTCTTTAGATGAGCTCCAGAATGATGGTGGACAAGACACTCAAGAAAATATCTTCTAAACAGTGAGCATGGACCCACAGTATTATAAGTATTCATGGAAAAAATTATACACTACATTTACGGAAAGGTGCTATATTCATCTGGGAAAAAAATGATTGAAATTCATAAAATAAATGATGAAACATAAGAAAAACAATGACCTTTGCTTATGCTGCACAATTGTACCTATATGGAAAGAATTATACATACAAACTGCGGTTCAGCTCCTGAAGAAACCTCCAAGCACAGAGAATGGGGAAGTCCACAGCAGTCAATCCACAATAAGCCAGGTCATTCAGCCAAGGTATCTACTTAATTTTGCTTATCACAATATTAGGACTGCAAATCCTTTACTCCTTGTGCTCTTAAAAATTAATAGACTGCCACATTTTCAAGTTTCATCCCAGCTTGTTCACCACAGAACTGCTCATTACTGATACTTGAGTCAGTTTAATCTTACTCAATTTAAAATTCTATGGACAAATTCAGAAATAAATAATTCTCCTACTACCTCCAAGCTTCAGCCAAAGAGAAAACATTGTTCAGGGAAAATTCTTGAATATATTCACTTCAATTCTGAAATTCAGGAAGCAACCTATCCTAATTTAGACAAACTGGAAGTACTCCAATTTTAAGTTTTATGAAGACTTCTTGTCACACTGCTTCCTCTTTCTGCTGGAAGTATTTTTGCACTAGTAAGTCAAAAATAAATGCCTCCAAACAAGAAACACTCATACAAAATTCACCTAAGACCAATACACCGATTAGTGAAAGAACACCAGGAACTCATAATAATTTACTTCTGTGAAACACATAACATTCTTATTTATAAGGCTTTTTTCTTGATACCCATCCCACAGACACACTCATATACACTTGGGATACAGCAGTACAAGAAAAAAGATTAGCAAGTGGTGAGGTAATACAGTTTACATAAGAATTCTTCTCAAATCTTTGCAACTGAAATGAAATGGGAGAAAAAGCTACTCCTTCTCTACCTAGGAGGGAGCACAACTATGACAACAGTACATTATTGTCATTCTAATCTTACTGGAAAAAAATTATATTCTGAAAACTTGTATTCACATACACTACTCTTTAAGACTTCTATTAGCAAACTGAAATTCTAGGTTAAGAACACGCCATGATATCCTCCAATTAAGGTCATGGCGTGTTTTTACCCAGAATTACAATTACAATTAAACAAAACAACTGCTACTTTTTGCTACCTTTTCCACCAGACTGAACACTGTCTTCCAAAAAGTGTGTGAACTAAATAAATGTTTATAGAAAAACTCAGTACAGTCTGCATTTACTTCAAATGAAGATGTCAGAAGATGCCTTTCACACTAGCTCACATCCTGTATTCTTTTGAAGGAGTTCATAAACTTCTTACATAAATAGCTCATAAACACTGTACCATGCATTAGATTCTTATGGAAATTTTTTTTATGTATCATAAACATATTCACACCAAAGATAAATCCATTGCATAAAAAATAATCAGAAACACATTTTCTTAGCTTCATATTCAAAATTAGAAAGAGTAAAACAATTTTTAGTCAGCGAGACTAAAAATAAAAAAGGTTTAAAGTTTTCTCTATGAAAGAGATGGAAATATTGTACTAAAACACAGTACTTTGCTAGAAGCATACACACATACATACCGATCTAACAGTATTATTAGAATTTAAGATGTATTTTGAATTTTAGCTAAGTATTGCTTTCCGTCACTGATTTTCCTTTCATCTTTTAGCTTCTCATTTCTATTTACATAAAACTGATTTTATTACGTAGTTTATGCAGTCTCTTACGTTTATTTACTTACCAACAGTATCACATGGTTCATCCTTATGTACACAGAAATCCTTCCTAGAATTGGGGGTGAAAGAAAAAATGTTAAGCAAGTCAAGCTGTTAGACGCTAACAACTGTGTAACCTATTTAAAAACATTTTTTACGGCTCAATGAATAAATACAGAACACCATTATCTCAACAAAGAACAAGCGGAAGCAAAGGCTGGAATTGCACAGAGCACTTAAACTCCATCTTATTCTCAGAGCAGATTTAAGAATAGTCAGGTGACAGAACCTGTACTGTATATTCAAATTGCATTGCACCTAATTTCTATGTTCTTTTGGGCTGTATGAGGTTTGTTTTTCCTTTTTCTGTAATTATCTTGAAAAGTAACAAGTCTAAAGCTAGTCTTCTTATCATTTAAAATGAAAATATTTCCAGTGCTTTACATGATTACTGATATAAATGCAGCATTTATATCAGTAATACAGCCAGACAGTTTTTATTCTAGCAAGTCAGTGGTTAAAATCACTAATAGGAATATTTCAAGAAGCATTTCTTCATCCCCTTAGAGTAGTGGAAGAACTTATAAAAATTAACTACCCTATCTCCAACACATACTTTAGTCCAGTCCAGTCATAGGTCCATAAATAAGACTTCTCTATTGCAAAAAGGAGAATAAATACAACATTTCAACTGTGTCTTAAACATCTGCTTGGGATTCATTTTGATTTCACATGTATTTTACTTCTCAGAGACACACAACAAGTTACTAAAAGAGCAAAGGGAAAACTGCTTTTTACTGGAGCATTTATAAGTAATGTTAATTTGTTATTTTAAGTTTAAAGGGCTGCTGAGGTATGCATGAATTGTGGGAGGAAACCAATGGGGAAAGAAACAACTAAAAACCTCAGGTACAGCAACCCCATAAACAAAGAATTCTGATTTTCTGCTGTGCCACAAAGTAAGGGTCTCTGTTTTTAGGGAGAGACTATATGAGTCAGAGAAATTTAGTTATTATATTGTGTCTATGAAGGTAGATATATAGATTGATATATAGACATATACATATATAGACATATAGATTGATAATGATAAAGATATACATATAGAGAAACACCCATTTTCCAGGAACAAAATGCAAGAACTGTTTGGTGCCTGAAATGAAAGATACTGACACTTTTTTTTTTTTTTTTTGCCAAGTGTGAAAACTCCAAGAGATGCTTGTTTGTTTCCCACAGACTCTTTCTACATAGGGATTTAGACCCAAATGCAATTTCTAAAGGTTGACAAATTTCTAACAGTTGTTAAGGGACACACAGATAGATGCATGGGGTTATATAGCTTTTAATTAACCATTCACCACTGCCAGATAATTTCATAGAGTGGAAAAAGAATCGTAGTGCTATAAATTGATAAAGTTGTGAGTAAACTGATAAGGACAGTCTGGGAATACACTCAAAAGGGCCCAGAAAATTGAGAAAAAGGTGGTGAACAAGAAACTACAAACAGATACAGAGAAAAGTTATTTTATTTTTTCAAACCTGCAAGAAATCGCATTTATGCACTTGGTTGTAACACAATTCTTTGTTTTGTGCTATGTGACACAAGGGACTTATTGTCTTGTTAAGCAACATGACAGAATGATTAGAAATATGGGACTTGAAGTGAAGCAAGAGAACATGTGTAAAGACAGTCTAAGGACACTGATTTCTTTCCATGCACACCCACTCAATCACCATAAAAATCAACTGATGCAATAGTAAGTGAAAAAAAAGAAAAAAGGAAAAGAGAAAAGAAATAGATCATACCTTCAACTGCAAAAGAATACTACATCACATTTTAAAACTGTCAATATCCAAGAGGTTTCTGCTCATGTAATAGCTTTCCTCTCATATACTTACTGAGCTGTTTTAGTTTTTTTTTTTGTTTTCACTTCTTGGCTGGATCTGACTACGATTATGTTGTGCATTCAGGGTTTCATTATGGGACGTGGGGGAAATGGTACTGCTATGATTTGGCAAGAGAGAAATACAGTAAACCATTTTTAGTTTCCGACTTACATTGAAAGAATGTAATACCGCCTTTAATTTCCAGGAATATGAACGCATTACATACAATTGAGACTAGGCTCCTTAGTAAAGATTTACAGTTCTAGCTAAACCTACCAGTGACTCTCATAAAAATAAAGCACACTACTAAGTCCTCAGACAGATTATTTGCCTTTGTTCTTCTCATCCTTTCTCTCAGCAAAACAGAGCAAAGATATTAAAATCACTGTTACAGCACACAGAAGCTTTAGTGGTGCCAGTTGGTAACTGAGTCTGTCAATAAAAGCAAGAAATGGTTAAAGCCCACCCACTCCAACCATTACCCAGCACATAATGTCCATTACTCTAAATGGTTACTTTGCATACACACAGAAGAGAAAGCATTTCCTTATTCAAGTGAAGGAAAGGAGGAGCTTTCACACTACTTACACCTGAATTCTGCACTTGAATGAATTGGCTAACCCCAGGAAAGGATTCTAAACAAGGATAGGTAACCACTAATGAATTGTTTCATTAGTGAAATGAAATTATGTTTAAAATTATGTATTTAAATTATGAAATTATGTATTATCTAAACATAAAATTATGTTTAGATAGTAGATTTTAGTTGACTGCATACATCATTATGAAAGACCTTCACAGCACACAAAGGCTACTTAATTTCTAAATACAAAATTATACAAAATACATTGTCTTTGCTAAAATAAATCCCGACGTGTAGGTGGGATGTACAACAGAAGACAAAAAGAACAGTAAAGGAAAGCTAAATTAAAATCCAGACTTATATTTTTTTTGTGAATAACGTCCAGCAATTTGTCATTTTAGATAAACTTAATTCTTGTTTTGGCAAGTCAAAATAATCAAAAGATCTATTTTTTACTCAGGCTGGTTTATCATTTCCTTCTATATGCAAGATTGGAGAAAAGAAGAAAAAGGACAGATAATAGATTTCACCTGTCTACCAGATCTTCATTCTAGCTTCACTCTACTCCAATTTCTCTAATGTTTACAATTTTGATCCATGTTACTGGAATAACAGCAGAAGTTAGACTGCTTGAAACTGCAGTCTAACTTCTGTTGCTACTGATTCCAGGGTTTACAACATTGTTGAGGCTTATTGCTCAAGTAGTAATTCATCAAATCATAAGATTTTTATAAGGAATAGTTGCAATTAATGGCACTTGTGGCAAGTGGCATTATCATCAAATTGCAAATGCCTTCACTTGCATTGTGCGAAGTGAATAACTACAACGCTGAAGATGTTCTTGTCTCTTCACATAACAGGACATTCTGAAATAATTTTCACATAATAAACCAAGCACGTACTGATTAATAAATGCACTTTTAATGACAATAATTAAATTTAATATTATTTTGGCGCTAATGAACCACAAGAAAAATTACTTATTTACTATTTATTTGGGAATTTAAGTAAATGGACAATTGTATAATAGTATAAATTGTATTTTAGAAACTGCTTATTATTTTTATCTCAAATGCAACAGTATGTACTGTATTTTAGAAAAACAGGAAATAATATATTTAATTACTTCAAATGTTTAACACATCACTTAGGCTCTCTAAAGCTGAACTGAGTTTTAAAAGGATGATATAAATAGTCCATATAAAGCTCACATTTCAGTCAGACTGAAAAACAACAGTTTGGAAGTATGGTGAATTAACTAATAGCTGAATTGAACACATTGTTAACATATCAAAACAGATATAGATACAGATACAGAGTAATTAGTAATCCAAGGAAGCCTTTTGAGTGGAGTCAAATAGAACCTAGACTCAGTATGAGGAATAAACAGTGATGCAGAAGAAGATATGAAGGCATTCCTGGTAAAGTTTAAAAATTAAATGAGTCCTGATAGATGCACATTGGAATCAAGACTGATCAAATTTTAAAGATAACTCATTGGAGTAAATTTTCTTCTAAAGCAGCCAAAAGTGGCCTCCCAACTTGATTACACAAAACAACAGCAACAAAAAAATGAGCATTTGGAAACAGACAGTAGGAGGGAAACAGCATCCTTGTATAAAGATACAGGAAAATATCAAAATGACACTACTACCTCTGTTCACACAATACTGTGTTCAGTTTTTTTGCTTATGCTTGAAAAAATAATTTTGTAAAGTGGAAAAAGTCTGGAAAGAAGTGAGAGAACAATCACATAGAGTAACCTCTGAAAATTACTCTGAGACAGAGAAAAGTTGTGACTTGAGCACAGCCTACAAGTATTTTCATAGGGAAGTTTCCCAACAGATTTTAGCAGTGAAGGGTACAAAGAATCCATGGTTGATTTTAAATTCAGTTTATGTCCATGTATTCCTATGGAACAGATCTATACTAGTGAAAGAACATATGCAGCCTAATTATTAGAGCCTGAAAAAGTAAGCTGACAGCAATAGGTAAATTCATGCAAATTTTCCCCACACACATTATTACAAGTATTACCACCTCACACACTCAAATACCTTAAACTTAAAAATTAAAAAAAAAAAAAAAACCAGCATATGATAACCTAAAGTTAGGGTGATTTTTTAAAATACACAAGGTAAAAATACAGGACTTCAGTTTTACAGAAGACTCTGGCTTAAAAAAAACAAACAACAAAGGACAAAACTTTTCATTTAAATATGCTCTTTTCAGATTTCCCTGCTTTCTTCTGCATCTACAATCCTATTACTAAATAATTAACAGACAGGCCATGTGCAATTCTCATTAACTTCCTTGAAGCCTGCTGGTATTGTCAAATAAATCAAATTATCAAGAGAGTTGATAAATTGAGTATAAAACAATTAAGACAGTTGGCAGTACTGAAGTAACAGTGATGAAGACAAAATGAAGAATAATCTCATTTCTCATCTGTGCACATGCATTTGTGAGAATTCACTTTTCCAAAGCTGAAATTCACTAGGAGTTTAAGGACAGCAATAGCAGCTTAATAACCCAATCTCTATCTCAATACATTTCAGCAATTTTGACTGCCAAACACTTCAGGCTTTTGCGGTGACCTT